CTCGTCGATGCGGTCGACGCGTTCAGGCGTCAGGAGGCAGACAGCGCACTTGATCATGCGGGGTTTGCGCGAACAACGCTGTGCTGGCGCGGCGAAGTCGGGGCCTGGTCGGGTGGGTGGGTGGGTGGGTGTATGACGGTAGGTAGAGTGTGTTTGAAGATGCGGCATGGACGGAGAGGTGTGCGATGGGTGCGGTGCCGCGAGCGTGGTGTGCGCAGGTGCGTTTTGTGCTTGTGTGTGTGTAAAAACGCGATTTTTGAAATGGTGGGCGGGGTAGGTATGGTTCGACGCGCGGGTAGCTCAGTGGTAGAGCGTTCGATTGCAGCTCGAAGGGTCACTGGTTCAATCCCGGTCCCGCGCTTCTTCTTGTTGGCCTCGCTTTCTTCTCACTTCTCCTACACGGCGGGCGCTCTTTGCCGCCTTTTGCTCGCTTTCCACCGACAACCACATGCCGTCTCATCCGCTGCCCAATCACTACTCGATAGCAGGCTTTGTTTGTCAAGACCGAGCCTTCATACTGACCTGAAACTGTTAATGTTGGGCAGCGTGCAAAGTGGTATGTATTTCGGGTGACTCGTCGATGCGGTCGACGCGTTCAAGGCGTCAGGAGGCAGACAGCGCACTTGATCATGCGGGGTTTGCGCGAACAACGCTGTGCTGGCGCGGCGAAGTCGGGGCCTGGTCGGGTGGGTGGGTGGGTGGGTGTATGACGGTAGGTAGAGTGTGTTTGAAGATGCGGCATGGACGGAGAGGCGTGCGATGGGTGCGGTGCCGCGAGCGTGGTGTGCGCAGGTGCGTTTTGTGCTTGTGTGTGTGTAAAAACGCGATTTTTGAAATGGTGGGCGGGGTAGGTATGGTTCGACGCGCGGGTAGCTCAGTGGTAGAGCGTTCGATTGCAGCTCGAAGGGTCACTGGTTCAATCCCGGTCCCGCGCTTCTTCTTGTTGGCCTCGCTTTCTTCTCACTTCTCCTACACGGCGGGCGCTCTTTGCCGCCTTTTGCTCGCTTTCCACCGACAACCACATGCCGTCTCATCCGCTGCCCAATCACTACTCGATAGCAGGCTTTGTTTGTCAAGACCGAGCCTTCATACTGACCTGAAACTGTTAATGTTGGGCAGCGTGCAAAGTGGTATGTATTTCGGGTGACTCGTCGATGCGGTCGACGCATTCAAGGCGTCAGGAGGCAGACAGCGCACTTGATCATGCGGGGTTTGCGCGAACAACGCTGTGCTGGCGCGGCGAAGTCGGGGCCTGGTCGGGTGGGTGGGTGGGTGGGTGTATGACGGTAGGTAGAGTGTGTTTGAAGATGCGGCATGGACGGAGAGGCGTGCGATGGGTGCGGTGCCGCGAGCGTGGTGTGCGCAGGTGCGTTTTGTGCTTGTGTGTGTGTAAAAACGCGATTTTTGAAATGGTGGGCGGGGTAGGTATGGTTCGACGCGCGGGTAGCTCAGTGGTAGAGCGTTCGATTGCAGCTCGAAGGGTCACTGGTTCAATCCCGGTCCCGCGCTTCTTCTTGTTGGCCTCGCTTTCTTCTCACTTCTCCTACACGGCGGGCGCTCTTTGCCGCCTTTTGCTCGCTTTCCACCGACAACCACATGCCGTCTCATCCGCTGCCCAATCACTACTCGATAGCAGGCTTTGTTTGTCAAGACCGAGCCTTCATACTGACCTGAAACTGTTAATGTTGGGCAGCGTGCAAAGTGGTATGTATTTCGGGTGACTCGTCGATGCGGTCGACGCATTCAAGGCGTCAGGAGGCAGACAGCGCACTTGGTCATGCGGGGTTTGCGCGAACAACGCTGTGCTGGCGCGGCGAAGTCGGGGCCTGGTCGGGTGGGTGGGTGGGTGGGTGTATGACGGTAGGTAGAGTGTGTTTGAAGATGCGGCATGGACGGAGAGGCGTGCGATGGGTGCGGTGCCGCGAGCGTGGTGTGCGCAGGTGCGTTTTGTGCTTGTGTGTGTGTAAAAACGCGATTTTTGAAATGGTGGGCGGGGTAGGTATGGTTCGACGCGCGGGTAGCTCAGTGGTAGAGCGTTCGATTGCAGCTCGAAGGGTCACTGGTTCAATCCCGGTCCCGCGCTTCTTCTTGTTGGCCTCGCTTTCTTCTCACTTCTCCTACACGGCGGGCGCTCTTTGCCGCCTTTTGCTCGCTTTCCACCGACAACCACATGCCGTCTCATCCGCTGCCCAATCACTACTCGATAGCAGGCTTTGTTTGTCAAGACCGAGCCTTCATACTGACCTGAAACTGTTAATGTTGGGCAGCGTGCAAAGTGGTATGTATTTCGGGTGACTCGTCGATGCGGTCGACGCATTCAAGGCGTCAGGAGGCAGACAGCGCACTTGATCATGCGGGGTTTGCGCGAACAACGCTGTGCTGGCGCGGCGAAGTCGGGGCCTGGTCGGGTGGGTGGGTGGGTGGGTGTATGACGGTAGGTAGAGTGTGTTTGAAGATGCGGCATGGACGGAGAGGCGTGCGATGGGTGCGGTGCCGCGAGCGTGGTGTGCGCAGGTGCGTTTTGTGCTTGTGTGTGTGTAAAAACGCGATTTTTGAAATGGTGGGCGGGGTAGGTATGGTTCGACGCGCGGGTAGCTCAGTGGTAGAGCGTTCGATTGCAGCTCGAAGGGTCACTGGTTCAATCCCGGTCCCGCGCTTCTTCTTGTTGGCCTCGCTTTCTTCTCACTTCTCCTACACGGCGGGCGCTCTTTGCCGCCTTTTGCTCGCTTTCCACCGACAACCACATGCCGTCTCATCCGCTGCCCAATCACTACTCGATAGCAGGCTTTGTTTGTCAAGACCGAGCCTTCATACTGACCTGAAACTGTTAATGTTGGGCAGCGTGCAAAGTGGTATGTATTTCGGGTGACTCGTCGATGCGGTCGACGCGTTCAAGGCGTCAGGAGGCAGACAGCGCACTTGATCATGCGGGGTTTGCGCGAACAACGCTGTGCTGGCGCGGCGAAGTCGGGGCCTGGTCGGGTGGGTGGGTGGGTGGGTGTATGACGGTAGGTAGAGTGTGTTTGAAGATGCGGCATGGACGGAGAGGTGTGCGATGGGTGCGGTGCCGCGAGCGTGGTGTGCGCAGGTGCGTTTTGTGCTTGTGTGTGTGTAAAAACGCGATTTTTGAAATGGTGGGCGGGGTAGGTATGGTTCGACGCGCGGGTAGCTCAGTGGTAGAGCGTTCGATTGCAGCTCGAAGGGTCACTGGTTCAATCCCGGTCCCGCGCTTCTTCTTGTTGGCTGCTCCTACCTCGGCGGCAACGGCAACCGCAGCTGGGCTTGGTGCTGGGGGCGCCTGGGCTCCACCCTCGGCGAGCATGCCGCCCGCTCTGCCGGGTCGGGACAACACATTCGCAGGGTCCGGGCGGGGCTTGGCGGCGGTCGTCTTGGCCGTCCGCGTCGTCGCCGTCGTCGTCATGGAGCTCGCTAGGGCCGTGGCCAGCCGCACGCAGCGGCGGCCGGATCCGCTCCACCGGCGGGCAGCCTGCCGGCCGCCCCGGCGGGACGGCCAGCATCATCCGCGGGGTCTTGGGGGCTGCTGGCGGCGGCGTCGTGCCGCCAGGGCCCGCGCAGTCGCCGCAGCGAGCGCCGCCCCGGGCGCTACCGGATCGGACAGCCTGCCGGCCGCCCTGCCGGGTCCTGCCAACTCACTGGGGGGTTCTTCGGCGGCGCTGCGCGCTGGAGGGGCTGGCGGAGGGTCTTGAGCAGCCAACCGGCGCGCGTGGGGGTCCGTAGCAGGCGTGGGGGCTGAGCAGGAGCCGTCGCTCCGCGCGCCTCGCCGAAGCGCGAGCGGCGGCGGCGGGGTCTTGGGCAGCCAAACGACGCGCGTGGGGGTCCGTAGCAGGCGTGGGGGCTGCGCAGGAGCCGTCGCTCCGCGCGCCTCGCCGAAGCGCCGCGTCCTCGAGGCCGTGTTCTTCGGCCGTGTACTCCGTGCCGCGCGGCGCACGAGAGGCCCGGGGTCCTGGCATAGTGAGGCCAGGTGGTCGGGGCCCGGTCCCGCCCGGCGGACGGTCCGCGGGCCCGCGTCCGCTCGCCGTCGCCGCGAAGCGACGCGAGGTTGAAGCGGCGGACCGGGCCTTGGCTTGGCCGCCAGAGGGCCCGGCCCGGGGTCCCGCAATGGGCTCAATGGGCGCAGCGGGTCGCGGACCCGTGCCCGAAGTTGCGCCGGCCAACTCCTCGCCGGTGCCGAGCAGCGGCGCCGCGCGTGGAGGGTCGCCGGGGCCATTTTCGGCTCCGGCCGAGCCCAAAACGGGGGCGGGCGGATCCCCAGTGCGTAACCGAAGCCCTAGCGGATCCGCCCCCGCCCGGACGTCCGCCAGCTCAGCCGCCCCAGCCCCGTCGCTGGCCGCGCTATAGAAAGACGCGTCGCTGGCGAGGCTGGAGTGGCTGGCCGTGGAGCACTCGCTGTCGGTGGACGGCGAGCGCTCCCGGGGCTGCCAGTCCGGCCACCAGAAGCGCATGCGCCGATGCGGTGGTGAAGGGCCGGCCCGTAGGCAGAAGAAGGAAGAGGATAGAAAAGATCAAGTAGTAGTTGGCCTCACGAGGGATGGGTGAAAGCCCCCGGAGACCGTACCGCGATCGGCTAGCAAGCTAACCGAAAGCAGCAGTTCCAAAAATAAATGTGAAAAAGACCCCACCAAAAGCAGGGAAACCAGTTTTCACACTGATTAGAACAGAATGTGTGTTCGTGTTTACCAGTTAGTAACCTCTCCGTAACTGAAATGTAGGCTAAAATATGCATGTCACTAAAGGGAGGGTGTTTGTGTCTTCCTGGGTTTTTGAAGGGCGGTTCCCTACCTGGGTAGTGCCCTGTTGGTCAAATGACCAGCTTACCGCCGTGCCCGAGCCTGCGATGTGCGCCGCGGGGCCCCCCCAGACCCACGCGGCGCTCGCGAGGCGTTGCCGCTCCGTTGTCCTTCGCGGTGGCGCCGGCAGTGCCAGCCCCAGATGCGGTGGCTGGCGCGGATGCAGTGGCTCGACAGCTGAAGGTCCAGCTGTCGAGCCTCGCGCTTGTGCAGCTTCAACTTCTCCGTGTAGGTGTTGAAGTTGCTGGGCTGCACCGAGCCCAGCGACCCGTACACGATCGCCGCGGTCTGCACCTGCCACCCCTTGAGCTGCAGCTCCGCCACGATCGGTTGGTACTTGAGTGTCTTGTGGTCGTGGCTGAGCTGCAGCGAGGAGTGGCGGGCGCCGGTCGCGTGCTCTTCGAACGTGACCGCCAAGTCGGCGATCACCATCTTCTTGGCGGCCACGTTCCGCAGTACGATGTCTGGCCGCAGAGCTGCGCCCGTGTACTCGGGTACCGTCTGGTTCAGGCGCAGCTCCGCGGTCGACTTGCCGCGCTTGAGCGCGTTGCGGATCTTGGACCCGATCTGCTCCAAGGCGTCGTCATGACGCTGGCGGATTGCGTCCATGTTGGACTCGCAATGGTTGAGGACATGGGCCAGCGTCTCGGCCGAGGGGCAGGTCGGGTCCCTGCAGGTCTTGTGCGACCGCAGCCGCTTGCGCTTGAGCACGGCGTTCGTGTCGATCTGGTTGAGGCGGGCCTTCACGCCGAAGCGGTAGTCGTCGTCCGACAGGCCCGCCCCAGTCGACACGAACTTGGCACCGACACCGCCGTGGGCCCGCACCGTCTTGCCCTGGTCCGCCAGACCCTTCCACCGGGTCTGGTGGCGGATCTTGAGGTGCAACTTGACGTGCCGCAACACGCTCTTGTGGTCGAGCCACTTGGCGTGGTGCGGCACGCGGAGGCCGAGCGGGTCCAGGCCGTTGCGGTCGTCCTGCACCACCAGGCTGAGGTGGTAGATGCGCAGCCACCGCTGCACGTCGGACCACAGTGACCCGATGTCGCCGTGGCGGCGCAGCGCCTCCGCGTGGGGCGAGGCGGCGAGCTCGGAGTTGAGGAAGCACCGCACGAGCTCGTCGTCACGCTCCCGCCAGTGTTCTTCGCGGAGGCGGTGACGCTTGCGGGCCACCTGGCACACCTGTGCGCGCGCCACTTCCCGGATCGCTGGGTCCTTCGAGTGCAGCATCTGCCACGCATGGGCGATCTGCAGCGCGCGGTGCATTTCCACCAGCGGCTGGAGCCCCAAGCCCCCGCTCGACGTTGGTGCGTAGAGCACCTCGTTGGTTGCCGAGCGGGGCAGGCGTAGCAGGTGCCGCAGGCCCTTGGCTACCACACGGTCGAAGCCCTGCAGTTGGGACTGGAGCGGTCGGAGGTGGCGGAGCGCGTACTCGACCTTGGGGTAGACGTAGGTCTTGAGCGCCTTCACCACCTGCCACGGCGCCAACCCCGACTGCATCAGCGCCACCGCCTCCCGCTTGATCTGCTGTAGCTTGGGCTCTAGCTGGAGACGGTGGCGCACGTGATCGAAGCCGTCGCCCACGCCGAGGTAGCGGTAGCTGTCGTGCAGCTTGATGCTTGAGACCTCCTCGTCGTGGAGCGACAGCTTCATGTCCTTGTCGTGGGCGGGGTTGCCGCGCGCGTTTCGTGTCACGGCCAGGAAGGCGCACTTGCCTGGGTTGGCCTGCAGCCCCGTCCACTCCAGGAACTGCTCAACGACAGCGTGGCAGCGCGTGATGCCGGCCGCGCTGTCGCTGAACACCTTGAGGTCGTCGGCGTAGGCGGTGGTGCATGGCCGCACCCCGTCCGCCAACGCGACGCCCACTCCGTCGAGCTTCTCCAATGCTCGGAGCAACGGCACCAGCGCGGCAATGAACAGGAGGGGGCTGAGCGGACAGCCTTGGTACACGCCCACCTCCTGCCGCACTGGTTCCGTCGCTCCGTCGGCCGCGTTGCCGACGACGAAGTAGGAGTCCTCGTAGATGTCGTCGCAGCGCTCGACGAACGCACGCTCGACGCCGAGCAGGCGGAGCACATACCACAGCATGTCCTGGTGAACGGACCCGAACGCGTTCCGCAGGTCGTACCAGACCTGGTACAGCCTGCGGCGCATGCGTCGGGTTTGGTCCAGGAGCGTGGTTGCCACGAAGTTGTGCTCGTGGCAACCATTGTACGCCCTGAACCCCTTCTGCGCCATGGGCAGCAGTCCGTTCGCCTCCAGGTACGTCGACAGCCGACGCGCCAGCAGACCGCTGTAGAGCTTGTAGATCGCGGTCTGCAGGCAGATCGGCCGCCAGTTCGCTGGGTCGTTGGGGTCGCCCTTCATGTGGATGAGGCGGACGAACCCCACCTTCCACAGGGCAGGCACCCGGTGGTGGCGCCAACAGAACTGGAAGGCTGCGTGGAGGAGGGGGACCAGCTGCGCCGCGAACTTCTTGTAGATGTCGTAGCCCACGCCGTCGTGGCCGGGGCTGGAGTTCGTGGCCGCTTGCATGAGCTGGTCCTCCACCTCGTCTATCGTCAGCTCGTCCGTGAGCGCGCTCCGCCGCTCCTGCGGTGTCCCGACGTCGGCCATCGCCTCGCGGAACAACGCCCCGCAAGCTTCATCTGGTAGGAAGTTGATGCGGGGCGAGTTCACCGCCGTGAAGTGCTCGTGGAGCGTGCCCGAGTCGATGGGGCACGTCTCCGGGTGCTCGTCCGCTGCGGTCTCCGCCGACGCAGCACGCAGAATGTCCTCGACGCACTTGCTCTCGTTGCGAGCGAAGTCGTGGCGGAGCTGCTGTTGGCGCATCGAGGCGCGGATCCGGCCGACGCGGCGCCGCGCACGGCGGACGGCCGATCTGCTGGTGGGTCGCTCCTGCTGCACCGCCGCCATCTCGTCGAGGGCCTCGTCGAGTCGGTGCTCGCGCTGAGTGCGCGTCACCCGGGGCGGTCGCTGTCGCTGCTGTTGCAGTGGAGGCCGAGGGTGGGGCTGGGCTGCTGTGAAGGGCTGCAGCACCTGCCGGATGCGACCGGGAATGGCGCTGATGTATCCATCGCCCGAGGTCCAGCTGTCTGCGTCTTCGATCTTGCACGCTAGCTCCTCCGCCATGGCCTGCAGGGCCGACGCCGCCGCTTCCTGCTCGTCTTCGGTCAGCTGCCGCAGTCGAAGGCGCAGCTGCCGCGCTGGAGCCATCCCGGGCCCGATAGGCAGCGTGGGGAACGCCTCGCCGCCGTCGCGCGCGGCAATCTCTGCGTCGATGTCCTCGTCATGATCGCTGGCAGACTCGGCGCGCGTAGGTGCGCACGCGGGGCGGGCAGGAGGTGCGGGTTGCTCGCGCTGGCGTTGTGCAGCAGGATTCATGTGGAGGCAGCTCTCCATCGCCCCTTGGTGCTCGCCGCACTC